TGAATGTAGTATGATATTGCTTTCATCTCTCTATATTCTATTTATGTCTCTATACTTTTATTAGTATTCTACTAATAGAATGAAAAGGCATCATATGAATGAAATTATTATAATGGGATTGCTGGGATCTGGCAGCTAATTATAATGTTTTCCTAGTACATCTAGGGAAAGGGTTACAGTGCACACATATGCACATACAGAGGATTTTATGAATGGAAAGATTAAAAGTGGAGGGCATGACTCTTTGATCTGGTAAGTAATGAAATATGCACAAAGCTAATAGAGGCAAAAAAGGATTAGTTAACAGAATCTCTCTCTGTGTGTGTGTGTCTGTGTATATTGTGGAATTACATACACATATACAAACATATCAGCATAAAAAGGTAAAGGTTCCCCCCGCACATGCGTGCTAGTCATTTCTGGCTCTAGGGGTGGTGCTCATCTCCATTTCTAAGCCAAAGAGCCAGCACTGTCCAAAGACTTTCTCTGTGGTCATGTGGCCAGCATGACTAAACACCGAAGGCGCATGGAGCACTGTTACCTTCCCATCAAAGTGGTCCCTATTTTTCTATTTGCATTTTTTATGGACTTTCGAACTGCTAGGTTGGCAGAAGCTGGGACAAGTAATGGGAGCTCACCCAGTTATGCTGCGCTAGGGATTTGAACTGCTGAACTGCTGACCTTCTGATCGACAAGCTCAGCGTCTTAGCCACTGAGCCAAAACTCAGAGCCCAAATGGCATGCTTGGAACATTATTTATGGGCAAGAAAATGAGACACAGACACACATTATGATTTCTTTTAAAAAAGAAACCAGTTGAAATAGCAAGCAGGGAAGAATAAAGTAATAACAATTGAAAATGTGTAAGAAGTTCCGCCCTTTTGTTTGTGTGCAGTGCAGGTGATTCATTTTCAAAAAGGGTGGGGCTTTGATTGCCAGCTCATACATGATATTTTGTTGACTCTCCTTGCAGATCCCCCCTCCCTCCTTGACTCCTTGGGTATTCAGCTTCTGCTTTAACATATCTGGTAACTGGTTCCTCTATTAAACTGCTTTTTTTTTTTTTTTGTCTTAACATTTGGTTAGCCTGTCTGTAATTTAAATTCTACACTCTGGGGCAATGGAGAACAAGTTTTATTTATTTTAATTTATTTAAAGCTTAAATATTTTATGACTGACATCCTTTGGCAAATTTAAAGAGTGTGATTATGTTCCCTCTCAATTTTCTTTTCTTGTGATTAAACATTTCTAAATGCTTCAATTTTATCTTCACAACATTTGGGTTTTAGTATCCAGATCAGCTTGTGTTGCTGCTCTTTTTTCAATCTGACCCTGTCTTAATCTTTTTAAAATTGGGATACCCAAAACTGGACACAGAACTCAAAATGGAGTTGAACCAATAGAAAATAAAGTAGAACAATTGTTTAGTACAATTAGGTGGAAGATCCTTCTGGTCCAGAAAACATCTACTTCCATCCATCTTTAAACTTTTTGTTTCAGCAGTTCATGAAATTTATAATTAAGAATACGTACACAGACATATTCTTAACTATTCACCCTGATGAAATACACACATACACACAAAACTAGAAATACAACCAGATTCTTCCTTCCTTCAATTGACTTGGGAAGCAGAAGTAGTCCAATATTTCTATATACTGAGTATGCCACTGACCTTGATAATCAGAGAAGGACCTTATGGATTTCACCAACTTGCTGTTACTTATAAGCAAGCCTTTTTAGTAGTAGCACCTGCTCTGAGTGGGAAATGTAGATCAATCAGGAACCACTTCCCACCGACATTCACAGAGGAAATTATGATATATTTCAGTTGCTCAGCTTTTTCCACAGGTATTCATGGTGCAGATGCTATGTATGAATGCTTTTTTAAAAAAAAAATCAAGATTTTAATTGCAATAGTAAAAACAAATACAAAGTAAACTTGAAGTAAAAGAAAAAATAGAATAAAAAGTACAAAGAAAGGAAAAGAAAAAATATTCAAAGTGACTTTCTATCTTCATTACAACAACTATAAAGAAATTTGGTAGCATTTCACTCGATATAAGACTACAAACAAATAGTCCTTTACATAACCCATCACTTGTCTATATGCAAATCCATAAATAATAAACTTTTCAGTCCTAGTGTCAATAAAAAAAGCCATAAAGGTTTACCAGAGCTTTATATAAACGTGTCTTATTTTAATCCTTAATCTTGGTAAAACAAACCTTATAAAACAAACCTTTACGAAACAATTGATGTGTAGGCATCAGTTGGTGACAACAAAGTTTGGTAAAACAAACTTTATATTCTTTCCTTTTATTTCTAATAGGCTTGACCTTTAATTCATTCAGATGTCATAGGATTTGGTCTCTCTTCAATTTCAGCCTTTGAGGCTTTAGCAAACCTCAGTTACTATAGGTCTAAGATTTCTTGTTAATCTTATTCTATTTAAAAAATATTCAGACTTTTAGCAAGGTACAGCTGGCAAAGATATTTAGAAGTAAAGTCCCAAGTACAGTGGATTTTTTTTCTATTGTGTAGGCATCAATTGGTGACAACTGAAATTCTATGCATACTACTATTACCTAGGAGTAAGCCTTACTGAATTGAACACATTTTCTCTGTGTAATAATATATGTTTGAACTCCATCCAGTGCACTCTTAATTTTTAAATTGAGAAGCATTCAACGAAGTATTCAAGGCATGCAATAAATACACTCGCCTGATTTTGATTTCAAAGAATATACCTGAATGGAACTTGAAACTAAAGAAAAAAGATACTGCATCTCTTTGATGAATGAACAATTAAGGCCTTGCTTTTTTTTTTTTTTTTACAAAGAACTGCTGGAAGTTTAACCATACCTCTTCTTTCAAGCCTATTGCAAATAGGTAATTATATCTACAAGTCTTCAGTTTTTTTAGGATATCTGTAAAATGAGACATCAGACGGCTAGGCAACCTGCAGTGCATTAGTTCAATAGAAAGAAAAGGTTATTTTCAGAATTACTTTTTTTCATTTTTGCAGTTACTGCTGCTACTAATTATATATACTGGGGAAAGTAGCCGGTCTTAAGTACAGAATTTGGTCAATTCTGTAAATGCCTAAAATTATGTGTATCCAGCATGACATCACCGTAGCTGGCTGCTGTAAATAGCCACATTTTCTAAAATAGAGAGAAATGGTGTCTGAGGTTTGATGGCTAGGAGTGAAAACGTGGGTTTTTATTGTCTTTTGTAACAGAGGCAATTATTGAAATGTATTATCTGATCTTTGTTTCAGAAGGGAGTAGTAGACTAAGAAAAAGCCCATTCCTGTTAAAATAAAAATGAATCCAGGTGGCAACACTGAAAAGGCATTTATTTTCCACATTAAAGAGAATATATTGTATGTCTCTCTGCTAAAAATCAAGAGAAGCTAGCCGAGATCATGGCAATCTATAGAGACTCATACATTTACTCCTTTCAATTACATTTATTATATTTTGCATTACATAGGAATTGCTGTTGTAATATCTCTCATTATTGTATTTCTGATTGCTTCATTGCTTAGAGATAGAATTGGAACAATTGACTGACTTTTTTATATTGATGGATGATTTAAGTCATGAATCAATGTCATCTTAAAAAGCGTATCATATATTGTAACTGTAACATAGAAAATAATTACTCAGGAATTTACTTATCAGTTTTTATCTCATACTTATCAGTATGAGATAGGGTTTTATCTCTGATTTAATCCATAAATCTTCTCAACATGGCACCAACTTATCTTTATGGCAGTTTATTCAGTTTAAACATCTATAATATCACTGTGTGTCTGCACTTTAGGAAATCCATCCTTGATGAGGGATTTGAGTAGCTCCTTGGCTGTATCTAACTAACCGAGTAACATTATTTTGTATTTATATCTCAGAATATATTTAATGTAAGTTGGCTATTCAATCATTGCTGGAGGCATAGCCTGGGGGCAATTTTCAGAATACTTATATGATGTATCTTTGCCCTACCATTACTCCATTTTGAACTAAAATTTGTAAGATTTTTAATGAAAAATACTTATAGTTTCCTAGGCTACATTTGTAACTTTAATTCCCAGTGGTACTTATGATCTCAGCTCCTTTTTATAGCCTCTCATCCTCCTTCCCTACAAAATAGTTGAAACTCCACATGATTACCTATCTTTTCTTGAGAAAGAAAAGACCCATAACTGTAGTGTTTTTTAAAAAATCAAAGAAAGTGGGTACATTTTTTAAAAAACCTGAAGCAACGAATCTGAACATTCCAGCTCTACAGACTTTACATCACTGCTGCCTGTTGCATGGGATCTCCACCATCACGTTTCCTATCCCTGACTGAGTACATGCAGTTTATCAACAAGTAAGTAAATTTCTGTATGGATCATACGTGGATGTACTGTAATTGCCTCCAATTGCTTGAAGAAGGCAGGATGTTTTTTTGAAGTCAACAAATCTTTTGAGATTATATCCTCAGTTTCAGAATTCTCATACAGAATGGCAATAGGCTTGTGTGTAGCCTTTTTAGTTGTTTTTAAGGTTTTCAGACTTGATAAACGGAAAGGTATTGAGAATATAACTTTTGTCCTATTAATTTGGTTCATAAATCATGATCCAATCTTCTTTTGTTGAGAAACATAAATATTGACAGGAGGTGACCATTACATTTGCCATTTTTTATAACCTGTTAAACCTTCAGCAACTGATGTTCTGCAGTTGAGTTTGGTTATAACTCCTGTTATCACTAGCCAGCATGCAGGAAACTCATTAAGTACAACCCTTTTCAAATTATTTCTTTTCTTCTGTCCCTGATGTCTTCCTTAGCCATATTATGTTGTCTTGCTTCATTTTCTGCCTGTCCCCAGCTAGAGACATTTTGCAGTTTATGCTACCTTTTCTAGGAAATACAAAGTATAACTGTGAGTATAACTGATACAGTAAAAAAAAAAAAAAAGACAAAGGATATATTATACCTCCGAGGCAAGCTTTGCGCAGTGGCAGTATCGTAGCCAATGAGGTTTATCCGAGGCGCGATTATTGCTAATTGAAAACTTTTCCCAATACCCCGCCTTGACGACTTGAAATATTATACCTCTGAGGCATCTCCTTTTACATGGATAAAGAGAATATTACCCAAAAATTGTCAATTGTAATAACTATGATTTGATTATAAAGTATAAAACAGAATTATAAAACTTTAATACAAGAATTGTCATTGAACTATGGTGTTCACTTCCATATAGGAAAGAATGCACTGTTAAAACATTTATGCCACTAATTTAAAAGAGAACATAATGAACTAAAGGTTTTTTTTTTTTTTCATTTTGTTCAATTGTGTCCAGTTCTTGGAGACTGCTAGGACAAGTCACAGCAATTTTCATGAAAATATTTTTTAGAAGTGGTTTGCCATTGTTTCCTTCCTAGGACTGAGAGAAAGTGACTGGCCCAAGATCACCCAGCTGGTTTCATACCCAAGGAAGGACTAGAACTCATCGTTTCCTGGTTTCTAGCCTTATACTTTTAAGTATTGCACTAAAATGGCTCTCAAAATTGAAGTCAGGCTACATTAAATGCAACATCTTGGTCTACAAGATAACATTGTAAGATTGCATTGAGTGGCTGGATTCAGAAAGCTTAAAATGCCACTGAAACATATATACCTTCTAAAAAAAAATATGCTGTCATTGTGACATTAAAATCATTATGAAACCCTAGATACATATGCAGTGCATTCAATAAAAGTACCACTATATCAGTGGTGGGTTGCCCCAGGTTCGGTCCAGCTCCGCCCGCCCACCACATCATCACAGGTGATTGCACGTGCGCAGAAGCGTGCGTATGTGCTCTCATTGCAAACCAGTAGTAAAGGTAAGTAGAACCCTATATCTAGATTTTTAGATGTCCTGTAATTTCAGAACACTATCTCTAGTCAGCAAAACCTGCAGAATTTAACCTACATTAAAGGCTAACCTTATATCATGCTTGCCCTATAAATATTTTCAGAACTACAAATTCCAGCATTTCCCAACGGTAAGCCTGTTGCCTAGGCTAGCTGGAATTTTTGGAAAGTGGAGTTGCCACACATCTGGAGAGCATTAGGATCGGAAGGCTGCCATAAGATCATTAAACATCCATATATTTATACAAAAGACTTAGAGGTAAATACTTCCTTACTGTGTAAAGACAATGTGTATTGCATTCCTTATGGGATGCCGCTCATTAATTACTTGTGTTAATTACTTATATAAACCCCACAGCTGCATGTATTAAAGAGGCTAATCAACATGCTGGAACAGAAATCTGCTCATGAGTGTCATGAGGTGAACTTAGCCAATGCAAGTAGACATGTTTTTCACTCTGGGGAAGACTGAGTGAAAACAAAACAAAAATATACAGTAAAAGAACCCGGCTGAATCAAAGCAAAGGATTTTCTAGTCCAGCATCCCTTTTTATGGAATTGCCTTTGAGAAGCTCACACATTGGCAATAATCCTTTTCCATCATTGTTCTCCAGAAGGATATATCAGAAACAGTAACTTTGAGGGCAGTGAATTATTATTTAATTTGTCAATGAACAAAGAGGGTGGCATAATGAGAGAGAGGGAGTGGGAGAGGGAGAGGGAGGGAATAATACTGTCTATCTACTTTGTCTACAACAGGCAGAATGTTATTTTTGTTAAAAAAAAAACATAGCCCTAAAATGTTATAAAATCATACCTAAATATTCTGGATTTGCACCATTTAAGCCTTTTCCTTAATCACTAAATGGTAGACTTGGACCAATGATACTTTTGGCAAAAGTACTTGTTTGTTTCTTAAGCAATAATAAGTACTGAATGAAAGAACATCATGAGATATACATTCAGTTACTAATAGCATTCCATAAAAATGTATAATTAAATAAATCAAACCCAAATTCTCACCATTTTAAATATTTTTTTATTAAAATAGGATTTTACAAAGAGTTAAAAACACTGAAACATAGAAGAAGAAATAGAAAAGGAAATAAATTATAAGAGTGATATAAAAAGTGAAGAATAACAAAAAAAAAGATAACTGAGGAAGCAACTTTTTCTTTGCAGCAAACATACCAATTACCATCTCCATCGCTTCTACCCATACATAAACTTGTACATTAATAAATCCTGAAATCAGTTTATTTTTATTTATTTTTTTAATTTTCAATCAAAAAAAAGATCTATAAAGGAGTTTTTATAAATGTAATTAAAGTTGAACCCTAAATTAGCCATTTTCCCAAACTCTGCATCTAACCCAAAATTCTCACTTGAAGCACAAATGACTAGGTTCATATTAGTTCAGACATAGGCAAAGACATAGCTCTCTGGAGAAGGCTGTAATACTAGGAAAGATAGAAGAAAGTGAAGAACAACCAGCAGCAAGATGGATGGCTCCTGTGCTGAGAGACCTGAAGGATGAGAACATTTAGTCAGAACATTTAGGAGATTATCTATATGGTTCAGGGGTGGGTTCTACTTACCTTTACTACCAATTCGCAATGGGGCTGTGCGCGCGCTCTCGCTTTGCACGTACGTATGCAGAAGCTTCTCCGCATGTGCAGAAGCATTCTGATGATGGGCTGATGGGTGGAGCCTCCTGCCAGTTTTACTACTGGTTCTATATAACCGGTGTGAACCAGGGGCAACTCACCATTGATATGGTTGCTAAGAACTGACAACAACTTGATAACACAACATATTCTATATGTTGCATACTATTATTGTTGCTGTCATTAATAACAACATCAACAGAATTATCAACTTCCGCAAACTTCAGAAGTCCTACAGAATCAGATATGCAACACATTTTAATTTTGTTTCTAATCTAGACCCATCATCCGGGATTTTTGATGGAGGAGATGAAAGAAAAGTTTGCAAATTGAATATAAATGACATTCAAATTAGGCTAATACTTTTTCTTCTCTCCAAAAATTTGGTTAGCTATTTGAACTCTAATACCATAGTGATGCAAAAATGATCATGATTCCCCCCCCCATTTTTTAGAATCAAATACTTTCCTTGAATATTAATATCAACATTTTCCTAAATGGGAAAACACTGGCTTTGAGTTTTATGTGCTTCGATTATCTAGATAAAGATATAGATATATAGATATAGATATACATGATATAGATAGATACAGTAGAGATAATACAGTAGAGATAGAAAAAACAGCTAGAAAAACAAAGTTACAAAAGTCATTAACTTGTAAAAGGCAAATAATTTCTTAATGAATCAGAAGATTCAGCATCTTTCCCTGGATGAAAGAAAGACAGTTGTTGCTGCAGCATTTCAAGCTAGCAATTTTAGGAAACAGAGTTTGCAAGAGAAAGGGGAGGGGAATCCCCAACTCCAGACCACTAATAAAGGTAAATTGATGGTTGTAAGACCGTTGATTACATACCCATCTTTGTGTGAATGGATAGCCACCATTTTTATTTCATGAAATGTTCATTGTTCCCTATTCACTCTGTATTCAGCAGCAGACAGATTTCATCCTCATCTGATGAACATTCTCTGCTCCAAAGGTAACTTTACATGGGAAGATATCTGTCCACTGTGGCCCACTTTTGCAATATTTTCAGCACAATTAGGCTGAGTGAAAATTAAAAGTGTTCCTCTGGCAAGAGATATCAGTCAAAATAACTCCTACTGGGAGGAGAAATATCCCCCTCTAGCTTAGCCAGGCTCCCTGTTTTGTTCTTTGTGAGAAGTATAAAACAATTGAGTTAACCTAAATTAACTTATATTTTCCATCATGTTACAGTAATGCAAGGCACAGAAAGTAAGAAGGAAATAGTAAGCCAAATAAATTAAGACAAACTGCTCTTTACCCCTTTCTCCTTGCAAACCAACTTTTCTTTTATCACATTGATTCATACACTTTCTTTTGGTTTTTTTAAAATGTCTTACCTCCATCTTTTTGTGGATCTCATCAACCAATCATGACTTTCTTAGTCTTCTTCTTGATCCATACACTTTTCCATTGTATCATTATAAAAAGTATAATATCCATGAAGTATAAAGTCTTTATTTGAATCTTTTGATGACTATAGTTCAATTGTTTCATATTGCAGTTTCTTCAGGAATGACAACAATATATGTGTCATTGGGTGCCACAGAAAATATTAAGCCATAATATGATTTATTTATTTTAGCTTGGAATCTTCTGTGAATGAAGCAAATGAAATGAGTTGCCTGTTGTAGTTTATTCAATAATTCATGTTTATTGAATAAATAAATGTAAACAATATTTAAAATATATAAATAAAAATTGTTCGTTTAACTTAACACAATGTACAAACCAAGGCAGTTTTAATAGTCATCCAAAGTTTGAACCTTTTTCAAACAGATTGCTAAACTAGAAACCATGGTTTATAAACACAAGACCTGAGTTTACCTGTCACATTAAAATCAAAATTAAGCTTCTTTTGGCTTCATAGTTCATATTGCATTGAATGCACAAAACCTTGGACATCTCTCCATCTAATGAACAAGGAAAAAAATGATGTGAATATCTGAATAAAGTTCTTCCAGATCAGTCAATAGAATAAATATAACCAAATGCTCAAATATATGGCATTTCCTATAATATCTTTCATGATGAATTGCTTTCTTCTACAGCTGACAGTTCACAAAGTTCACTACATGCATATGACTTTCTTGCTAACTTCCAAACAGACAGTAGCAGTAGCACTTAGACTTATATACCACTTTATTGTGCTTTGCAGCTCTCTCTAAGTGGTTTACAGAGTCAGCATATTGCCCCCAACAATCTGTGACCTCATTTTACCGACCTTGAAAGGAAGAAAGGCTGAGTCAACCTTGAGACTGTCAGAATTGAACTCTTTGCAGTGAGCAGTGAGTTAGCCTGCAATACTGCATTCTAACCACTGTGCCACCATGACAAAACAGCTATAACATGGTTTTTGGCTTTGCATTATAATTACTTCATTAATAATTATTCAGATAGGATTGTGTCTCCTTTGGCATAGCATAAAATGGTCTGCATTAGATTAAAAGCAACTTTAAAAAGTTCAGTGATGTAATTATAATGCACCATCACTAAGAAGAGCCCCATTAATGTTTCAGTCAACCTCACCAACAACATGTCACTCAAAAGTCTGGCAAAAGAGATAGATTTTTCAAATACCAATT